CTACTCTGAAAGCCCAAATTTTTACATGCTCATCTTAAAGTATTGCAGTCTACCAGATGTGAGAGAAGCAGGTCTCTGGGAAGAGCACAGAGGGGCGAGTTCAGCCAACCCACAGCTACCAGCAACTGCTGACAAATGCATCTCAGTCACAGATGTCTTATAGCATGGCTCTCAAACTTCACTATTTCAGTTAGAACTTTTTTAGAAGAAGTACCGCTAGCAATCTTCTTTTTCGGTCTGCACTCTTATTTTAAGATGTAACTTCAGCATCCCTGGACTTCCACAGTGAAACAGATGTCTGAGAGAACCCGATGTATTTTATTGTAACTAGCACAAACTGAAAAGCAAGAATTCAGTTTTGCAAAAATATTCTCAGGCTGTGAAATCTGTGTTTTGTTCTGACAGGGAGTAAAACAAAAACAGGTTGCAGTTTGAAATCTCCAGAGTTCAAAATCTCAAGGATCCAGAGTTACAGTTTCATCTTTCAGAACAGGAGCCAGGGCTGGTTCTGCATCAAAAGTTGGAGATATTGGTCGTAGCCAGAGCCAGGCTGAGAGAGGTTCACCTGCAGCAGTTCCCTGCGGCTACAATAAGTTCAGGACAGAAAATAAGGGGAAACCAGGCTAAATCAGGAGCCATTCACATCATCCAAATAGAGCTGGGAGAAAGTAGGGCCCCTTAGACTCTGCACAGTCCTCTCCATCACAAATCTAACTCTAACTCCGTATACAGGCATGAAAGCTCACATGTAAGAGAAATTTAGGGCCGCTTTCTTTTCCCAAAGTCCATCTTGGGACTGTGTGTGTGCAGTGCAAGCTCAGACCTCCTGTCACTAGAATCTGCATTTTTGGTCAATAGGTTTGCAGCCTCCCGAGCTGAATTTCCCTGTTCACACTATGTGCAGGGATGCCCCACACCTGCAGCTATTCAGATCTGAATTACTCTGAATTCTGCATGGTCCACTGTAGGCCGTCTGCTTTTTGTCCGGGCTCTGCCTGCCCAGAAATCATTCTGTCCTGAAGGCAAGCAACGTCAGGGCTCTTACAAGGAAGGTCTTTGACCAGCTCTCCTGTGCTTGGCAACATTGAGAAGCCTGTCTTACTCAAACTCCGGTTTAAGCACTCTGGGGAATGCTCAAAGCACTGAGGACACCTTCTTTGACTCCCATGTACGCCTCAAAGATGCTCCATCAGGATGACACCACACACGAGCAACTCAGCTGGCACCACGGCAGCCCCAGCTGCTGCTCCACAGCGTGGAACAAATGTGGCCACCCCACCTTCACAAGTTGTTTCAGCCAGACTCCTCATGACAAACCTCCCCAGGGGGCACACACTGTCTGGCTGCAGAGTGAAGTGTCCTTTGAGGTGTCCTTTATTCTAATTTGCAGCACAATACCCAGGATGTGCTTCCCTTTCTGGGCTGTGCCAGAGCACTGCCCACCTCTGGAGCCCTTGGAACACCCACTCTCACAGGCCTCTCTCTGGACACCCCTCCTCCATACATTTGGGGGTCCTAGTTGACAAACAGCTGAATATGAGCCGGCAGTGTGCCCAGGTGGCCAAGAAAGCCAATGGCATTCTGGCTTGTATCAAAAATAGTGTGACCAGCAGAAGGAGGGAGGGGATTGTGCCCCTGTACTCAGCACTGGTGAGGCCACACCTCGAGGATTGTGTTCAGTTTTGGGCACCTCAATACAAGAGAGATATCGAGGTGCTGGAGCGAGTGCAGAGGAGGGCAACGAAACTGGTGAGGGGGCTGGAAAACAAATCATATGAGGCGCGGCTGACGGAGTTGGGACTGTTTAGTTTGAGGAAGAGGAGGCTGAGGGGAGACCTCATCACTCTCTACAACTACGTAAAAGTACACTGTAGAGAGGTTGGGGCTGGGCTCTTCTCACAGGTAATTTGTGACAGATCGCGAGGCAGTGGCTTCAAGCTCCAACAGGGTAGGTTTAGATTGAACATTAGGAAAGAATTTTTCACCGAAAGGGTGGTAAGGCATTGGAACAGGCTGCCCAGGGAGGGGGGGGAGTCACCATCCCTGGTTGTGTTTAAGGGCCGTTTAGATGCAGTGCTAAGGGATATGGTGTAGGGGATGACTTGTAGAGTAGGGTAGATGGTTGGACTCGATGATCCCAAGGGGCTCTTCCAACCTAGACGATTCTATGATTCTATGATTTCCCAATCAAGCACAGTTCCTAAGTTTTGTTTTGTTTTTTTTTCTATCCCCTCCTCTACCTACTGTGCTCTGTGGGTGTTTTAACTCTGCCTGTTCCTCTCAACCGGCACCCAGGCCTAGTGCCCAAGGCCTGACCCCTCCCTGCTGCCAGAGGCCTAAAACCCCACCCGACCCAGGCTGATTTGCCACGGATCAGCCCCTTGCACATCTCCGAGCCTCAGCCAGGCTACGAGAAACGCTTGTGCTCCGAAGCAGCCGGGCTGCTGACGGCAATTTGAGCTTATAAACGAGGAGGACGGCAGCCCGCTGAGTAACCAACATGGCGGCGGGGCCGCCAGAGGGCGCTGTGACTCCTCCCCTCCGCACGGTGGCGCAGCGCCGCCGCCCCTCAGCCCTGCGGGGTGGGGAACTACAATACCCAGCATGCCCCGCGCGACCCGACCGGAAGCGGTTTGCGGCCGCGCTTGCGCAATGGGGGGGGACGCGAGTGTGCCGGAAGCGCGGGGGTGGTGCCGCCATGAGGGGAGTGGGGCCCATCGCCGCGCTCCTCGCCTGGGGCGGCGGCTCCCGGTCGGGCCCGCTCCGGGCTCTGGTGCCTCCGGTCCCGCGGAGAGGTGAGAGGCACCGGAGGGAGCCGGAGAGTCAACACGGGGGAGGATAAGCGGCTCCCGGCCCCTCCGAGGGGCGAAAGCGGCGGGAGGGGGCAGCTGGGTGCCGCTGTGGTGGGGGGACCTCGGTCGCGGCTGCACAGAGCGTTTGGCGGCCTGGGCCTGGTGCCTGAGGGCGGTCGCGGGGGCCTGTCCCCCGTGCGGTTGAGGGAGGGAGGGCAAAACACCTCCCGGGGGGGTGTCCCGGGGACGGAGTGCGGTACGTGGGGAGTGACAGGGGGTGTTGGGGATGGGAGGAGGGATGGGGGTCAGCCATGGGGGGTGAGGAGTCATCACAGAAGGGTGTCTCGGTACGGTCTGTGAAAACGGCAGCGAGTTTCAGAAGAGAGAGCCCAAGGCTGGTGAGGGGTCTGGAGCACAAGTCTGATGAGGAGTGGCTGAGGGAGCTGGGGTTGCACAGTCTGGAGAAAAGGAGGCTGAGGGGAGACCTTGTTGCCTCCTACAGCTGCCTGAAAGGAGGGTGTAGCGAGGAGGGGATCAGTTTCCAAAGTAACAAGTGATAGGAGAAGAGGAAATGGCCTCTAGTTGTGCCGGGGTGGGGTTAGATTGAACGTTAGGAGAGATTTCTACCCCAAGGGTTGTCAAACATTAGAACAGGCTGCCCAGGGAAGTGGTACAATCTCCACAGAATCATACGTGGTTGGAAGGGACCTCTGGAGATCATCTAGTCCAACCCCCCTGCCAAAGCAGGTCCACCTAGAGCAGGTTGCACAGGAACTTGTCCAGGCAGGTTTTTAATGTTTCCAGAGAAGGAGATTCCACCACCTCCATCCCTGGAGGCATTTAAAAGACAGGTAGACATGGTGCTGAGGGACATGGTTTAGTGGTGGACTTGGCAGCATTAGGTTGACAGTTGGACTTAATGATCTTACAAGTCTTTTCCAACTTAAACAATTGTATAACTGAGCGAATACAGGGGTGAAGCAATAGGAAACACAGCAGCATGTCTAGGCAAGCGAAGCTTCACGCTGTAATATTAGCTTTTCTGGGATAATATGTCTACAATACGTATGTTCAGTGAAAAAAATTCCCATTTTATTTCACAGTAAATTTTTGAATTCTTTTAAATTGCTTGTACGTAGTATTTAGTGCGCATGCACTTACACCTTTCCTTTGTCTCTTTAATCTTTTATACAGACTTTGGTTACTACAGTTGGCTTAGTTAGAGTCACTTGTTTAGCTACGAGGTAGTGCATAACTTGATTTATCTACAGCGGCACAATATAACTTCCCTGTTGTTCAAATAATATAAATCTTTTGAGTAAAGGCTTAGATAAAATACTGAACGACATTTTGGTTGAGGCAGAGAGCCAGCAGTGAGACAGGTTTCAAATAAGCACGGATTTAGAAGTAACAGGGCTTTTTAGATAACAAAGAATCTATCAGAACAGAGTCTATAATGTGCAAGGCCCCACAAAGATACAATGAAAGGAGAAATATACTTTAAATAGTATATTTTACCTACTTGAGAAGTGGGAGCAGCAGTGAAACATCTTGTGGGAAGGCATTCATGTAATAAATGGGGTGGATCTTTAACTAACGCCTCTCTCTGAGGTATAGGGTACAGACATCGTATCACTTTGTTTCCTCATTACTTTCTGGTGAACCAGCAAAATCATTCTGACTGATACATTTGCATAACTTCCTAAAAAAATGTAGATCTGTCGCTTTATCTTTACATGTGGCACTCTCCATGCTGGAAAGGACAGTTATAGGAGAAAGTGTAAAAATAATGTGGGTGAGGGATTCTGTGAAGAACCGAAGGACTGATCCTAGCTGTAACCAGCAGAAATTTGTAGTGTGTTAGAACTGCTGATGTTTTAGAAGTGGAAACATGATTTAAATGATGTTTCTCAAACATTACAAAGTAATTACTTGTGGTGGTTTTAGCGTATCAGGATGCATGGCTCCCTAGTTATACAAATGCACTTAAGATCAATATGCGAGTCCTAGTTACTATAGATTCCTCACGGAAGAGGGATGGATGGTTTCTGATGTGTGCTGTAACCAGGCTATCAAAAGGACTCACCTTTTTGTTGCAACATCCATGCAGCGTTGCTGTGGTGAAAGAAATTAAAATTATCGTATCACATGATGAACTAATCAGGTTAAATTGAAATTACATGTTATCACTTCCAGGTTTTGCTGCCACGCTCATTAGGAAGTCGTATGATGTCAGAAGAGTTGAAATCACTCCCCTGGAGCAGAGGAAGGTAACTTTTGACACCCATGCTTTAGTGCAGGATCTGGAAGCCCATGGTAAGTGATATCTGATAAATAATTCAAAGGAAAACTTCTAGTTTAAGTACTAAAACTTCGAGTGCTCTCAGTTTTCCCAAAGTACCAACACTTATAAAATGTTTTGGCAGCCTCTGGAGGTGGCTGGTGAAGGAGAGGCATCTGATACTGTCTGATGCCCTCTGTAACAGTACAAATAAACTGTTACATCAACTTACCCTGATTTGTAAGGCAAGTTGATGTGGTGTCTTCCAGCCAAGGAATACAATACACTCAATAAATTTAAAGCAACAATACCAGTTAAAGAACTGTTTTCTACCAGAAATGAAGCTTTAGTAGAAGTTCCTTCTACAAGCCTGCTAATAGTAACTTAAGGGTTTTTTCTCTAACTAGAAATATTTGCAGCAGCCTAATGCCATGATTCACTCTTAATACCTCCACTTTTTCTTTTTTTGCGAGTGTGGCTGGCTGAAGTCAGATGAAGGGTCCATCCAGCCCTGGGTTCTGTCTCCTGACAGCAGCTGTGAGTCACTGCAGATGCACAACGGGGCAGATGCACATGAAACACCCTCTTCTACTTTCTAAGTCTCCAGCTGTTTTCACCCTGGAGGTATTTTGGGTGTGAGTTCTAGGTTTTTTCACCCTGGGTGTGAGTTTTAGTCACCTTCTGTGGAATTCTTTTCACAAGCTTATTCAGTCCCTGAAGCATTATAAACTTATTAGTACTCAAAACATCCTTTCTCATGGAGTTTCAGACATCCACTCCTTTTGTTTTTGCAGAACCTGGCTTCAGGAGGTTAATTTGATGCCTGCTTAGCTCTTTTGTGGGAAGAGGGAATGACCATTTGATCCTCATGTCACTCATGATTTTGTAGACTTCTGTCATGTACCTCCATCCTTCTTTCCAAACAGAAGAGCCCTAGCTTGTTGAATTTTTCCTTGACCAGTAGTTTTTCCATACTTCTGACCATTCCTGATTCCCTTCTGTGAATCTTTTCCACATCTATCACAATCTGTTCCAAAGGGGAGGGAACAGAGCTGCTGGCACGGAACGTCCTGTGGATTTGAACAGTGACGTGATGTTGCACCAGTTTTGTTTTCTGCTTCTTGGTTTTTTGTAATTCCTATGGCTTTGGTTTGCTTTATTGATTCCTACTAAGCATTGAGCTGATGGCTTCATCACACTAGCAACTCTCCTTTTAAAACCCCAAGATCTTTCTCCTGAGTGACAGTAAGAACTTTATACAATCTGAGGTGAGGATCTTTTTCCACTATTGGGGTCTAATAATAATGAGTGTTAGAAGACTCCTAATAGTCCACTGACAATGTTGGGTTTTTTTTCATGCACGTCAGGCTTGTCAGCCACTTCCCAACACCTCTTCTGCAACTGTTTAAAAACTGGCATTTTATTTGCCATTTTCCAGTCCTCATGTAACTGAGGGAGTTTATGAGATGTTCTCCACATTTTTCTAAACTTCCATGCAATAAGGACACTTCCTACTATACAGAAAAAACATAATAATGAATTGGTCAAAACCTAAGCAACTCTAAACATTCAGAGGAATTGAAGCAACGTTATCACACCTCATAGTGGAAGGAAACTGTCATAAAGCACATAGCTTGACAGTGCCAGTATTTTAGAAGGGAGCAGTGACATATTTCTCCACATCTCTCTACATAATGAGATAAATTAAAGCATTTTTCAACACAAAGTTAATTGATCCCACTTTATTAAAAGTTTTCAGTATGTGGGTGACATCTCATTTGCCGGTGTGGTTAGGTACAGCACTTGAGTGTCCTTGTTTATTGTGTACTTCGTGCTATTCTCTTTGTCCAGCTTTCTAATACTACCTCTACTTGTCGTCTTTCAATTCTCTTCCAGGCTTTGGGAAGGAGCAAGCAGAGACCATTGTGTCAGCATTAATAACCCTGTCGAATGTCAGCTTAGACACCGTCTATAAAGATATGGTTACACAGACTCAGCAGGTAAGAATTCATCTATGGTGCACGTATACAGCATCGTGTAGCTCGTATCTGCATATTTAAAAGACAAGTGAGCAACTCTACAGTACTATAAATGCTTCAGATAGGTTTTCCTACTTTGATAAAGATATCAACTCAGTTCTGAGATGTACTGTATTTGTCCTACTTTACTATTCAAAGACTAAACAATGCTATTAAGACTATTTCATTATTTTATTCTGCATTTCAGTCTCTAAAGCTGCATCTGTAGTAAAAGCTAAACGTGGTTAGGGTGTGGGCACACACCCCCACACGGTTGGCCAGGGCCACCGCTGTGCCTTCGTTTGATCTTTTTGCCTTGTTCCAGCTCCGTCTCCCTGACCTGGGCACAACTTGTGAGAAAGAGGAGGGCCAGGAACTGTTCCCATCAGGCAGAGTGGACAAGACCCACCTTGATTTAGGAGGGGATTTTAACCAGCTGGATGTAATTTTTAGAGTGTCATGTGCCCTCGGGGACAGAAGTGTCCTTTGAATTATTGAGTTGTTGGTATAAATCTTGGTGTTTGTCTGTCAGGTCAGCACCTCAGCCTGCTCCAGCAAAGCATGGAGGTGTCTCCTTCGCTGAGACGCCCCGGGTCATGTTTGGATGGAGCACCTCTCCTGTGAAGACAGGCTGAGGGAGCTGGGATTGTTCAGCCTGGAGAAGAGAAGGCTCCAGGGAGACCTTATAGCGGCCTTTCAATATCTGAAGGGTGCCTATAGAAGAGCTGGGGAGGGACTCTTTGCCAGGAAGGGTAATGATAGGACAAGGGGAAATGGTTTTAAATTGGAAGAAAAAAGATTCAGATTAGATCTCAGGAAGAAATTTTTTACTATGAGGATGGTGAGACACTGGAACAGGTTGCCCAGGGAAGTTGTGGCCCATCCCTGGAAGTGTTCAAGGCCAGGCTGGATGGGGCCTTGAGCAACCTGGTCTGGTGGGAGGTGTCCCTGCCCATGGCAGGGGGGTTGGAACTAGATGATCTTTGAGGTCCCTTCCAACCCAAACCATTCTATGATTCTATGTTTGTGGCCGTATCTGGAGGCAGTGAGGCACTTAAGGAGCACGGCTGGTTTTTCTGTTGGCAGTAGAAGCGGTGACAAGTTTTGCTTTAACAAATTGCCAAAATAAAAAAAAGCTTTAGTTATTCTCATAGGCTAGACATCTGGGCCAGGATAATAAAGCTCCAATGCACAGTAATGGCTTTAATAATTACTCAGGAAAGCTGTGCAAGCTGAAATTACATGCCATTCTTCTTCAACGAGTTAATGCAATTACGCATTCATTGCTATTTTATTTAAACTGCTGAGCCTTACTTCCAACAGATTTTTATCTTACTGGCATTTATTCTTAATAAAAGTTATCAAACTTTTTCTTTCTACAAGTCTCAGAAGAAAAAAAAATTGTCTCTCTATTTTTTTTCATCAAAATGGAAATGTTTCTCTTTGGAGATCCTATTATATGTTAAAAAAGTCACTATCCTGAACATAATTTGCCTGGAATTGTGTTAGGTGGAAACACTGGGTTATATAGTGTACTCAGTGTCAAGGCTGAATCACATGGGGTTGGAAGGGACCTCTGGAGATCATCTAGTCCAACCCCCCCTGCCAAAGCAGGTCCACCCAGAGCAGGTTGTGCAGGAACATGTCCAGGTGGGTTTTGAATGTCTCCAGAGATGGAGACTCCACCACTTCTCTGGGCTGCCTGTTCCAGGGCTCTGCCACCCTCAAAGTAAAGAAGTTCCTCCTTAAGTTTAGATGGAACTTCTTATGTTCAAGTTTCTGCCCATTTCCTCTTGTCCTATCCCTGGGCATCACTGAAAAAAGACTGGCCCCATCCTCTTGACACCCACCCTTTAAGTATTTATAGGCATTGATCAGATCCCCCCTCAGTCTTCTCTTCTTCTTACTGAAAAGACCCAAGTCCCTCAGCCTTTAACGTTTTAAGAAGGGATGTTCATTGTGTTCAACAAAGTAGTCAGACTTCAGTAGAAGTTGGGTCAGGGCAAGTTATAATGAATTTAGTTGAACACAGAATCTTAGAAATACTGATTGGTTGTAATCTGAACAAGCTCTTGGTTTTGCTGGCTCTCAGCTTCAAAAGCAGAACCCCACAGAGATATGTCCTTTTCTGTGCTAAATAGTAGGGTAACTGCCTTACACGCGCTAAAGGAGTATCGCTTTTGAGATTCTAAAATACAAAGTTTCTTCCTTTATTTTCTTTTTCTTGCTCTGTAGTTTGTAAGTAGTGGCTGAATTCCAAACTATTTAGTCCAAACACCAGGAAGGCTTTTTTTGTTGCTTTTCAGCAATGTTTCACTAGTCTGCCTCACGCTTAAGGCTGAGAGGACAGTCTGATTTCCATATCATTAGTTTTGGGCTTTGGATGACTTTGTGGGCAAGAAATGGAAGTGCTGCCTTAGGAACTGGGCTCAAACCAACAATGCTTCATAGGCTACTGATCATTCACTGAAAATCAAAGAAAGAGAGTGAAGGACTAACCTGAACTTTCATTTCATAGCTACTTGGACTAAATACCTCGGGCTTTTGTGCTTAAATTCAGAGCTAGTGTATTGAAGCAACAGAAAAAGCAAAAAATCAAAACCTCTTGAGTCTTTCAGGCAAATTACAGCTATAAAATGTTGGGTTTCTGTCACTTTCTTCTTGGAGAGTCTCCCCGTTTTTGTTGTTTGCAGTAGCTAATTTCATAATTTCAGACCTAAAAAAATCTTTACTTTCCTGTACTTACCAGAAAGTGGGCAATTTAATCATTGACGTGTTTTATTGTTTCTAAGGAAATAACTTTACAGCAGATAATGGCACATTTGGACTCCATTCGCAAAGATATGGTCATCCTGGAGAAAAGTGAATTTGCAAACTTGAGAGCAGAGAATGAGGTACTAACAAATATTTTTAATGAAGCAGTTAACTTGTACTATATGTTGGGTTATACCTGTTGTATATGTGTATGTTTTTGTGGAACAAAATATGAATGTAAAAGTAATTATGGATACTTTGGTCAGAGTTGAAGTATTTGTAGATTACAACTCGTGTGATGACATAAAAATATATCTCGTGTGATAAGACTTGCTCAGTTCTGCTGTAAAGAAGAAAAAAGCTAGAAGAAAAGTCTTCTGTACTTTTATTTAAGTGGATTCTGGTAGATTATTGTGACCATTAACCATACAGTGCAGAGAGAGCAGTCAGCTGTTTCTTTGCAACAATTTTGTGATAATAATAAAAAACTGGCAATTGAGACACGTGCTTTTCCTTGCTAGCATTTTGGTATTTTTTCTCCTGTCTTTAATCTCAGAATAACATGATAAACATCATTATGAAATAATGCCTTTATTTTGAGGAGAATTCCCAGCAGATTATATGTTGCCATACAGATTGAACACACTAGTTTAGGATATTTAATGAAGAAAAAAATTGCTCCATTGGGAGAAAAATTAAGAGTAATTTCATGCATGTGGTGGTAACACTTACATGACTGATTCACTCGGAGTTTTCTGAATTTATAAAATCATTTTTTCTTTTCCTCTTCTACACCTAGAAAATGAAAATTGAATTAGATCAAGTTAAACAGCAGCTAATGGTAAGTAAACAGCAAATACCTACACACTCCTGTTGGGGAAAGTAAATAGTTATTTTCATAATCTTTTATTTGCTTTGAAGAATGAAACCGGTAAAATCCGAGCTGACAGCAAGCTGGACATAAACCTGGAAAGGAGCAGAGTGACGGATATGGTGAGCTTAAGCTGGTCTCTGAAGATCCCTTATCAGTGCTGCGTCTTATTTTTTGTTGCTACAGTTGTGATTTATTGTTTATCCACAGTTTACAGATCAGGAGAGGAAACTGATGGAAGCAACTACAGAGTTTCATAAAATAGTAAGTACTGAACAAAGCTCATTGTCTCTGGAGCAGGATACAGTTACGTGTTGTGTGTTGTGTAAACCCCAGACTGTTGTGAAAGTAATAGATTTTTGAGTGTCATAAAGCCAAAGGCTGGGCTGTATCACCCAGGTCTGCTGTACGTGTTTATTGCCGAGGTCTGTGGGATTTGCACTGAGCAGCCAGAGGGATGGTTCAGGGGCTGACAGCTGAGTAAATATTTCAAGGACTGGAAGTCTTCAAAGCTGCTGGCGGGCACTGAGGGCTGCAGTGGACATGTCCCATCATACCCCTTTTCTGGATATGGCTTGTGGATGCTTAAACCTTTCTTCTACAGAAATTGAGGGATACTGCCTATGGGCTGTAGCATTCCTCCTTAATGAGGCACTGGGGTATGAGAGACAAAAGTCTGTATAATCTGAGTTTTCTCTTTTTCTATCTCCCTCTTTAATATTCTTTCTGGATCATATTAAATACTGCTCTGTGCCTTCAAAGGTTTCTTACCAGATACATATTTTACGTCAGTGATAGGTTGGAAATTGGTATCTCCTGTTGCTGGTAGCATGGCATTCTTGTTTGGTTTTTCAAAGATCATCAAATACATGTTCTCTTTTAATGTTTCAGGATTCAAGTACCAACAGCGTTATCTCAGAAATCAGTAATAAAATTGACACGGAAATAGCTTCCTTAAAAACACTAATGGAATCAAATAAACTCGATACAATACGTTATTTGGCAGGTATGTAATAGGCAAGGAGGTGGGCACCAGTACTGTGTTTTGGATGTACAAAATTATATTCAGGAATATGTGCAAAGTGAATTCAAGAAGTCAGTTGTGTAGCAGCAGATAACTGGGATTGGGTGGGGGGTGATCCTCCCCAGTCGCAAGAAATGGGACAGAGAACACAGAAGAGGTGGGGACGTGCAGACATTGCTGCAGTTGGGCTAAGATTGCACCCAGAACAGGGATTAGGAGGAACGTGGACATGATTTTAGGGCTTTTTTAAAGGATAGGAAAGAAACCTGAACACCTTGTCTGGTGTGACAGTACCTCTGCTTGCTGCAGGGCAGCCACGTGTGTGGCAGAGCTGCTCCCACAGTTCTCCTGCTCTTATTTAAGTTACCCTGAAAGTTTGCTGATATTCGGGACTAGTCTGAGAGTGACCAGTTCTGCCTCCCAGTCAGTCCTCCACAGACACCCAGTTCCAGTATGGCAGTACTGGTACTTTCCCCTGCCAAGCAGAACAAATTTCAGTCTGACTTGAGATTGTCTTCTCAATATATACATAACCAGTGACATTTTTATTGTATTAGAGCTGGATTGAAAAGAAAAAAAATAAGAGGAACGTATTATATTTGGAAGTAAGAACAACTTCAGAGGCGCTGCCTGGATTAATATTGTGTCAGAGAGGGGTATTGTTCGTTCATTGTCACTTTGTTCAGTGGGAAATCATTTTAATTATGTCTAATGCAAGACCTGGCACAGCTGTCTCTCCTGTAATAGGTTTCCAAGAGATGGGTGACAACAGGGACAGTTACTGTAGCCTGCTGTAGCTCTTCAGAGGTGTCCCTGAAAACATAGTTCCTCAGGCTGCTGAATGTGACCTCCTACCTCACCTCCTGGGCATTGCTATGGTGCAGGATATTCCAGCCAAGTGAAGTCACTGTCTTCTAAAAGGATTCTATCACACCTGCAGCAATTCAGGAAGTTTAGGAAGTTCTGCTCTACACTTGTTATTCTTTCATCTGCTTGCAGTTAATTTTCCTGTATGTAGAAGGTGATACAGTTTCACATTCAGCTAATTATTTCCTTTTGTTTTTTTTTTAACAGCTTCGGTATTCACGTGCTTAGCCATAGCCCTGGGATTTTACAGGTTCTGGAAGTAGCTGTAGATGGAATGGTGCATCAAATACAGATGGAGAAAAGGCCACCCGGGCAGCATCAGTTCAACAAACATGTTTGCGTTGTTGCTAACCTTGGTACCTATTTGTTTTGATGTTCTTACTGTGCACTAAAAACATTTCTGAATATGTAATGCTAAAGATCAAAGTTATTGGAGGAAAGTAGGCAAATACTGATATTTCATTGTCCTCTATTGAATACTGTATTTATTTCAAAGGACTTCTTATGCTAAATCAGAAAGTGTTTCCTAAAGTGTTTTAGTATTAGTTTTGTTTTCTTTTGGAACATTCTCAATGGAATGTTTTCAGTCTCAGCTCCTCTTGAAAAGGAAATGCTCAACATTTGATAGGCCCTTGAAATGGGAATACTATCCCTTAGTTAGTATTCCCAATATGGGAATACTAATGCCAGTTTCCAACAGATCTGTTCTGGTCCAAGTAAATTAATCTTAAATATAGAATCTGGATTTTTGCCTTCAGGCTGTTCCTCTCTTTTTCTGATGGATTGAAGCCTGGCCCTTTGGGGTTTTCTATTTATATATAAACACACACTCCAAGGCCTTTACTAAAGTATCTTGTTCTTGAAAACTAGTTTACATAAATTTAAAATCTCATGTAAAACTAAACTGTCTCCAGAGATTTATTTTATTTAGTATCTCTTGCAATTTCTGTAACCCCCAGAGGTCAACAGAACAGGAGAACTCCTCTGTCTTTCCAAGGGAGATGCCTCCACTCCCAGCAGCTGTTTCAGCCCTGGGGCAGATAAGTGCTCTTAACCCCTCCAAGCAGGGCAGGGTATTTCCAATAAACACTGATGTATTTTCTGGGCATAGGATCTGACTTATAACCTGGAAATACTCAGCATCTCAGTGCCAGTGTGGTTCTGGTCATCCTCCTCCCATCTCCACGCTCCTCTGGACTGTTCTGTGATCCTGTGGCACACGCTGACCCTCCGAACTTTTGGTGATGATCTATCTACCTTCTGCAAGGACCTCACAGCTCTGGTTGCAGAGATGGGACATAGCAGGTGGATGCCTTCCACAACTGAAGTAGTTTCACCTCATTGAGTGTAAATGCATATGCTTGGTTTGATTCTTTATTAAAGTAATACCTTAAAAAAAACTTCCTGGATTAAACTTTTACGTAAAAGTAAGCACTTTATGGGGTAAAGAGTGTTTAGTACTGAGTAGCAGCAATTTTTTTTTGTTGTAGTTTCATTCTGTTTACAGTTGAACTTGCTGGTATCCTGCTAATTCTTATATTCTGTGCATTAAATTATTTATCATCTTCATTAAGAAAATAAAATTAATTTCTTATTTTTTGCTATCTGAGGGACTTGAATACAGATTACCAGACTGTAAACAGGCACAGTGCTATTACATTGGGAGCTGAGGCTGCTTTTTCAGCTGTCTGTGCCGTTTCCCAGTAGGCACGGGTGCTGGCAGCAGGGGTCTCAGCAGGTGGCCGGCAGCCTCTTGTGTTGTAACTGTTGTGTGTACAAATCCATCTTCTTGTGAGCTGTAACCGTTCCTGAGGTTCTCTGAATCAATCATCTGGCACCTCATGAAGGAGTCACTTCCTGGCTCATTTAGAATGATTTGAAGATAAAAATCAAGAGGCCTGGCACTTGTCTGCTGAGAAGAGCTTCTCCCAGGCACTGTATCCTGTCCCATTACTAAGGCGGATTTGGTTATTTTTTCCCTCCCCCTCCTGTCAGGAGGTGATCATCCCCCTGTACTTAGCACTGGGGAGGCCCCACCTTGAGTACTGTGTCCAGTTTTGGGCCCCTTACCACAAAAAAGACATTGAGGTGCTGGAGTGGGTCCAGAGAAGGGCAATGAAGCTGGTGAGGGGTCTGGAGAACAAATCTTATGAGGAACAGCTGAAAAAAGAAGGGGTGTTCAGCCTGGAGAAAAGGCGGCTGAGGGGAGACCTTATTGCTCTCTACAACTCCCTGAAAGGAGGGTGTAGAGAGGTGGGGGTCGGTCTCTTCTCCCAGGTCAGGTGATCGCACAAGAGGAAACGGCCTCAGGTTGCACCAGGGGATGTTTAGATTGGATATTGGGAAACATTTTTACACTGGAAGGGTTATTAAGCCTTGGAATGGGCTGCCCAGGGAAATGGTTGAGGCACCATCCCTGGAGGTGTTCAAAAGACAGGTTGACATGGTGCTGGGGGACATGGTTTAGTGGTGGTTTTTATGAGAGTGAGGTTGATGGTTGGACTAGATGATCTTAAAGGTCCCTTCCAACCTAATCAAGTCTATGATTTTAAGGTATGAGTAAAGTGGGGATAGTGTTCTTAGGCCTAGGAGGGCGTACACCATTACTGAACTACTACTGGACAGGAAGAGTTGTCTCTTGTCTGTTTGGGGTGGTGGTTTGGTTTTTTTAATAAAAAAGGCTGTTGCTGTGATTTAAAAATACCTGGGTACACAAACAGTTTGTATGGTCTAGAATATTGCCATTCTACCTCCACTTTGCCTGTCCCTTGTTCCTCAGCGCAGTCTGACGAACACTCCTCCAGGGGTGCCCGCTGGCGGCTTCTTTACTTTCTTTTTCTCTTTGCAAGACTTGGAGACGGTCTCGGCTTCCTGAAACAAAGGACATCGCAGCCATTACATGGCAATCGCTTAAACTTGCTACCTCCTAAGATAGGATTTAAAAATATAAATAATTGTATATATAATTTTATAATTAAAAAATGCATTTATATAATTTTATTATATAAAAAAATATATAGAATTGTGTTCAAACTAAAGCTGAGGCCAGAGCGTGGTGCCCGGCCACAGCAGGGTAAGATTTGAAGGTCCCTTGGTTGTAGCAGTCACTCAGAGCAGAAGTTTTTGCAAACAAACCAGCCTGAATATAAGTTATCTCCAATCCCAACTAGTAAATCTAATGCCCAACTGGACTTTTTTAGATTGCTACTGGTGAAAAAAACTAACACAAACCACTCTTCCACCCTAGAAATGGGGCACTTGATACCTAGATTTTTAAACCTGCCAGGGAAGAACAGGTATCTTCAACTGAGCTGTGGAAACAGAAAGTGGCTTTTGTTCAAGGTTGGAGGCACCTACCTGGCCTGAGGGTCTCGGTAGCATGGAAAAGATCGGTCCCAAGGATACATTGGGAAGCAAACAGCTGTAGGAACATCACAGCTGGTGTATGGTGTCAGGAAAAGCTGGCACTGGCTGAAGAAAAGGGCAAAAAAGCCCAGGACGGGAGGAAAGGTGCAGAAACAATCCTGCAAGGAGGGGCAGGAGAAAGCAAGCAGTGAAGTGGGATAGAAGGAAGGTGGAAGGAATTGTGCAACGTGGTTGTGCCAGACCACATGGCGTTGCTCAGGCACACACGGGCATTGAGAACGTAGCTGTGGAGCCAGCTCCCTGCACAAGTGTGTGACACGGGCACCACAGCCACCTGAAGGCTCAGGTCAGAAAAGGATCATTATCATTATCTAGTAAGGACATTCCAAGCACCTGGGCCACTCTCAAACCTGGCTGAAGAAGGTGGTAATGGTACCCTTTTCATCCAGCAACCCAATTTCGCCTCCAAGAAATATATAAATGTTTCACATGACGTACAGGTCAGCTGCCCCCTCCTGCATGGTTAATCTAATCTCTAATAATCAGCTTATAAAGCTGTTTTCTCTCACTTACTCCCTCCGGACCAGTGAATACTGAAACACAGTGGTCACGCTGCCCAGCTGTGAGCAGGGGATGGATATGGCTCCATCTCAGAAAAGCAGATGTCGTGCTGGTTAGAACATCCCCCCTGGGATGGGTATTCTCCACTCCTCAAGGCAGGTAGTCAAGGAAGTTACGTGAAGCTCCAAGAACAACAATGAACAGCCCAGGCTGGCCGGGCCATCAGCCTTTTTCACTGGTCATATCCTTGGAAGAACCAGCAGTGTCCCTGCACACCAGTTCCCACCCACAGCAGGAGGAATTCAGGTGCTGATGGACTGGATGGCAAAGATCAGAAAACCGAGGTCTTGACTGTCCCATCAGTTTGCGGGAGTTACGTAGCAGGGAAAGGTCCAAAATGCCAGCTCTCTTGGCCCCAAAGTCAACATGAGAACGTCTGATCTATCCTCAAGATTTCATTTAAAAAAAAAAAAAAGCTACAGTTTTTCTGTCTTTGCCTGCTAAGCCAATCAATACTTCATATCTGCATCTGCTTTGCTGTCAGCAGGCTGGATAATTAAGGTGATAGCCGATGACAGACGGGGTTGACACATGAGGTTGTGATGTGAGCAGACAGAAAGGTGGCCTGGTTAGAAGAGGAAAATTACTGAGCAGAAGAAACTGCCTGCTGGAAAATACTGACAGAGAATGTGTCTGCCAGCCTGGGAACTGCGTGGCCGGGAACCAGAAACCTCCTTGAAAAGTGCAGAAGTGCAGCTGGCCTCTTGGAAGTACCGCTGTGGTACCCAAGACCCAGAGGCATCCAGGGATAGCACCCGTAAGTGCAAAAACAAGAGACTGTAAAGGCAACTTATTGTCTGAAACAGTGGAAAATAGTCTGGGAAAATAAGAAGTGGTCTGAAAGAATAGAAGCCTCATCATCTCTTGGCTGTTACAGGTGAAAAGTAGAAAATTAGAAATGGAAACATCAGCATCTATTGGCTACTTGCAGTGTCCTCCACCTTCTCATGTCTCTGATATAAAAAGGGCTTAATTTCTAATCCAAAATCAGGCACTTCCCATGCTGCACAGGCTTTTCCTTTCCTAAACAGGCTGAATTCTCCACACAAACTTTCTGCAAGATCTTGGCGTCCCACCAGGGCCACCTGCCTGACTCCAGACTCTGCAACACAGATCATCTTTGAAGTTAGTCTTATTTTCTTGGTCCCTCCCCAGGCCCACTTCTGGGGTTCAGTTTACCCTCCCTTCTTTTGGGGACAGTTGGATCCCCCTCTGGGATCAGTCTGTCCTCCCTCTGGGATGGTTTAGCCCCTTCTGAAATCTAATTCCCTTCATACCAATATTATATATCTTTATGAGTAATCAGTCATTAAGCGTATCAGCTGTCATATTGTTGATAAGGTTGCTTCACTAATGCTAGGTCTGTAGTAACCTGTAATGGTATATACCTCCTTGGTTATTGCTGCACTAGTGATTGATGTTTGACTATTGATGCCACCATATTATTCATTGAAACTACACTACTGATTGCTAAGAGTGTTTTGTAACAGCTTGAGAGATACATATATTTATATTCACTTTACTAATCATAGGTATACTTGCTGGGGGTGATTTTTGTGGTATTTGTGGCAATCTGTAATAAAGTAGAGAAACGTACAGGATAAAAGCCTCTGTGTCCTTGTGTATTACAGAGTCCTACTAACCCATCGTTGTGATCTCTACCCACTCGCAGGCCAGGTGACCCTTTAGGTGATGACAACACCCTTCCTGAAGCACCAGCCCAGTCTGAGATACCAGTTACCAGCCAAAATGGTCAGTCACTGCATACACAGTGCAGAGGTACTCGGGGATCGGTCTACTCCCTTTTGTTAATATGAAGATGAAGAATATTGGTGCTTCTCTGCCAGGCTGCAAATGGAAACATATCCTTTCACAGCAGAGACACTGTCAGGACCTGACAAAAACTATTGCTCACTTCAGCGTCCCAAGCTAGAAGCTGCTGGCCCTACCATAAAAAAGACATTGAGGTGCTGGAGCGGGTCCGGAGAAGGGCGACAAAGATGGTGAGGGGTCTGGAGAATAAGTCTTATGAGGAGAGGCTGAGGGAACTGGGGTTATTCAGCCTGGAGAAGAGGAGGCTGAGGGGAGACCTTCTCACTCTCTACAACTCCCTGAAAGGAGGGTGTAGAGAGGTGGGGGTCGGTCTCTTCTCTCAAGTCACAGGCGACAGGACGAGAGGAAATGGCCTCAAGTTGCGCCAGGGGAGGTTCAGGCTGGATATTAGGAAAAAAATTTTCACTGAAAGGGTTATCAGACATTGGAATGGGCTGCCCAGGGAGGTGGTTGAGGCACCATCCCTGGAGGTGTTCAAAAGACGGGTTGATGTAGTGCTGGGAGGTCTGGTTTAGTGATGATGCTCCTTGTTTGTTGTGTGGGTGTTTATTTTTGTCAAAATTAGGTTGACGGTTGGACAAGATGATCTTTAAGGTCCCTTCCAACCTAGAAGATTCTGTGATTTACTCCAGCATTCCCTAGCACCATCCTGGGAATCTTAGTGAGAACAAAGATGCTCCAGCAAGGGGCAGCAGCCTCTGCCCCAGGCGTTGGGGGAGTTCGTGTGGGACTCACCGGGGGGAGAGCAGGGGGGACACGAGTTTTCTCCAGGCTCTCTCTGAGGCGGTTTATCTCAGCACGGCAGTCATCCAGCTGGCTCTCCAGCTTCTCCCGCCTGACTCGCTCGTATTCCAGCTGGGCCTCCAGCTCCCTCACGGCCCTGCCAACAGCAAAGGAGACAAGCAGAGCGTGAAGCACATCCAAACCTGCCTTGGTTACTCCACGGGGTCTTGTGCCTTTGCTGAGCCACAGCAGAAAGCAGCGCAGCACCCCTCACACCTGGTGGTGGCTGGGGTGAGCCACAGCGTGCTCCCGGCTCAGAACTCTTAGAAACAGCTCTAAATAGATGTTTTTTCTTCTCTGCTGCCAGCTGTGCTCAGCGCAATCTGGCCACGAGATGGAGACGTCTTCCCACACACTGAGCCAGGGTCTCGGACAGGCTGTAACCCAGACCCATCTCCAGCTGCAGAAGGGGGAGAAGAGCCCGAGGAGCAAAAAGTTTAGTATGAAACAGGGGAAAAAGCATAAAACTGGGATTCTGGAGGAGTCAGGGCCAGCTTTTTCGTTTACATGGTGTGCTTCTACATCCTTCCTACGGGTTGGCTTAGCCACAGATGAGGAATACTCAAATGACAGCCTGCGTGACACTTACTCAAGGGAAACTGAAGCACTGGCTGATAAACAGTTGCACAAGATCTCCTCAGTCACACCCACAACGGCTCCTAAATTAATTGAGATTCCTGGAACTGGTTAGCTGAGACAGAATTCACATATATCACTTATTATAACAGCAATCGACCTCAGCAACTTGAGTCATTTGAGTTGAGCTGGCTCTCCCGTGTCCCAGCATGAATTAGCACAGCTACAAAGATGGAAAATGGGTAAAAGGAAAAGGGAGACATCTGCCCCGTAGATTCAAACAGCACGGCAGGAATGGTCTCAGCAAGAGCTACCACATTTCCCAGGCTGAAGTGTTTCTGACTCACACAGCCCAGAGCTACCAGGCTGTACTGGCCTGACCCACGCTGTAAGAATTCCCCTACTTGTGCCGGGAAATCCATGCTCAGGGGGACAGGCTGATGTCTTCAACCTTCAGATTAATGACACACACAGTGGCAATTTTTTCCACGCAAAGCAGCCTGGTCAAAGCACTGGGCAGTGGTTCACAACAGGCCTCTTACAGCCAGAAAGCAAGCACTAAAGCAGGAATCTTCAAAATCTGCTATGGCAGCCTTCCAAAGTGGTAACTCCTGCCTTTCATCTAGCAAAATTAAAGTAATGAGGTTTTCTGGCACATGATACAAGCATCTTGGAGTTTATCCACAGGCAGGTACCCTGAGAAGGGTAGGAAGGTACGCTGGGAAGCAGCATTTCCATTTCAAAAGGCCAATGAGGAGATAGAGGTGCTCTCTGGCCTCCACAGATGAAAGAGACCCTTCAGAGATCCTCACAGTTTTTCTAGTTTAGCCACACGTGCCACAGAAAGCAAAAATTCCTTTAAAAGCCTTATCAGAGCCCTCTGAAAGACACTGTTAGATTTTGAGTAGTTGCTCTATCTAAAATGAACTCTAATTTCTGCCATTAGTCAACTATGACTTTTTCATCATTGCAAACAGATTGCTCTGACCTTCCAATGTAGGCATCAACATCTCAGTGGGTCACCCTTCTCCTTTAAAACCAGGAGAGACACTCCTAGAAGTGATGAATCTCATCCTGAAGAACATGTCCAATTATGCCCTGAAAGTGGCTACATCTCTCCAAGGAGTCTAAAACAGAGCTCCAGGTAACGAATTTGGATGCAGGTATCTACACTAGAGACACATCCAAGTTAAGGAAGATGGAGTTTCAGCCTGGGCTGAAGTCAAAGGGTGGTCTGCAACCAGAAGAAATCCTGACCTCAGTTTCTTGGCTCTTATACAGCTGTGAAAAGAACTATTTAATTCCAGTCTGTGACACCTCTTACCTGCTCCACATCTACACAGACTGGCAAGTCTGCAGTCGTCTTGACGGCGTGCAAGCCCTCTGGATACAGTCACCTCTCAGTGACCAAATAAGGACAGTGGTTTGGGGTGGCCCAAATAACAGAATGGACGTGGTTATCCAGAGAGACTGAGAACAGTGGGTAGCCAAATCTTTGACAAGTAAAGGTGGAGACAGGGCTGTCTTTTGGATGATGCATTGTTGTTTAAGCTCTAAATCTTTGATAGACAGAAAGGCTTTTCTTTGAAACTTAAGACAGTCTGCCCACCACATCACCTGACCAGTCTAACAGAACCCTTTCATTTAATGGAGATCCTGAGAATCAGACAGACATTATGAAAAGTGCTTCACGTGCATGGGCAAGTTTGCTGAGATTTCTTTTTTCTGCGGTCTGGATATGAGGTAATGCTTTCTTGAGCACAGAAATATATTGCCCTTGATGCAGAAATGTAGCAGGTCACTGAATAATTTCTACTGTATATGCACTTCCACCCAAGCCATGCTAAGACTAATGCCTTTTTTTCAGATTTATTAAAGTGCATACATGTATTTGGCATCCTCAATGTAAATGAAACAGCCAGGACTCATCAGACCTACTGCACATATGCTGCAGGAAAACCTGAAGGCTGGGCAGATAATCTTGCACAAGAAGTGGGGCTCCATCAAACACTTGTGTTGTGCTGTGGGGCTGATCCCGGTGGTATAAGTCTAGAAAAGGTCAGACAAATAAATTGCTGAAGTCTGTTTCTTTTTGTCCTGGCTAAAGTTGTTAGGTGGAAAGGACAGAATGGCCAAAACAACTTGAGTGTAAGTTAGACTTAAAGGTGGCTTTAAAATGGGCCTCACAGAGTTAAACATCAGCAAGACAAGTTAATCTTACTTCTCAGCTTCCCTTTCTTCTTTTTTCATCTTCTTCTCCTCTTCAGTTATTCCTCCCAGCTGTCTGTAGTTGCTGTAGGCAATTTCTAGAAGGTGTTGAAGTTCTTGAATCTTGCAAAAGGCCCTTACTGTAAGACAGAGTTCTCCAGGTAGGTAAAATGCATGAAGACAGTCACGCTGGAATCTAATAGTCTGGAAAATAGTCTCACAAACACAGAGCAGAAATCACACTGCTCAGCAAATACTGAGCTACGCCTGACACCCACACAGCAGACGGATCTCAAAAACAAGCAGCAATCCAATATGGTTTCACCAACATGGATTAAAAGAGTGTAACGATTATGATTTGATTGCCCTCTGCTATGCTTTCTAATTTTCCACAATTTTTTGAATACTCTGTGCTACAGACAGCCTGTCAGCTATCTCATCTTACAATAAAAGATCACAGTAGTTGGCAGAAACTGTGCAACTAGGACTATAGTGTCTTTAAACCAATTTTTTCAAATAAGGAGTGATGGAAAGACAGTGCTTACTGCGTGCGTTTCTTTTCTCTGCTTTATCCAGGGTTAAATCTTCTTTGCTATCTGTACTCCCTTCCACTCCATGTCTTTCAAAAAACTTTATGTTGTTTGCATCTAGTTCTTCATCACTAGAGTCACTGTCTCCAGTTCCTTGTGTCAAAAGTTCCACAGCTGCCGGTTGGGCAAATCTGCACAGAGAACAGTTAACCTACACTGAAATATCCCTGTTGTCTGGAAAAATGCAGCCACACTCCCTGCATTTGACAGAAACTCTCTGAAACTCTTCATGTTCCCATTTATTGGAAAGGGTTTCAAGGTTAAAGCAAGCACTAGTACACAAACTGTAAGCAGCTATCCTGCTTTTGGTAGTGTTCTGACAGCGTGAGTTCTGCCTCCATGAAATCGCATGACAATGACTCCCACATCAAAGGTATCTTTTCCTTTGCAAGTTTCTTAATTGAATCTCATAAGAAACTGGATTATTTTCATTAGTGCAAAATTCAATTGGCCTTTGCTAGTTCTCATTTACTTTGTCCAGCTGGAACATACTGGCTCACAACTGTCTTTCTGCAGATCAGCTACTTTTCATCTTTTATGTCTGACCTCATTAAAAAAAAAAATGTTAAATTAAGTGAAAATTAAAACCTTTTTTAGCTGCAACACATCTTTGCTTATCACTCAGAGCTGGAATTCACGGGCCTGATCTGTGCTTGATCCATCACTGAAAATCAGGATTAATTCCAATAAAGCTGACACGATATTGATAAATAATTAGTAAGTAAATAAATGACAAAGCTTCAGGAAATGTACTGCTACCTCTTGGCTACATCCTTTGGAGTCTCTCCAGCATCATTTGTAATGTCACAGTCGGCTCCCATTTCCATCAACCACTGTAAGCAGTGGACATGCCCCTGCCCGGCAGCTCCAGGAAGGAAGGTAGACACGAGTCAGTAATAGACAACTCAAGTGTTTCACACGTAAAACATCCCCCTCTTGTCATTATTTGACACGCCAGAGGCCAGGTTCACTAACACACCACCAAAGATACTATTTCAGCACAAGCCTGCATTTCAAGATGGTCGAGTCACGTGGGTACATGCAGTTTTGGGGAAGATCACGCCATGTGGTTTTGTGTCTCCTTCTAGTTCCAGAAATTTACAGGCAACTCTCTTCCTGGACACGAGTGAAACTAAACTTGCCCAGTCTCATGCACTGAGCATGAGCCACACAAATAATGTTGCAGGAAAGCCTATATGTGTCATAGATTTGCAGCAAAACAGTGTCACCTCTCTCCAACTCTGAGTAGACACAGCTGTTTGCCCCAAAATCTGGTGTGTGGTCTGTTGAAGACCTTCTCTCCTGTCTCATGGAGAAGGAGAGAAGCCAGGGCTTTGTGCTGGAGCTACAGGTATATCATTTCTTGGGTCAGTCGCTGAAGGCAACACTTCTTCGCTACAGCCCTGCTAAGTCATACAAGGCAGCATGGCTAAAGCTCATCCCACGGGGTGCCAGGAACGATGTGTCACATACAGAAGATGGTATTGGGCATGTCTAGCTGAAACCTGTAAGCTGTTTTCCTCAAGGAAGAAGAAATCCATTTCTTGACAGCACCCCCTTTGGATGTTTGCCATATTTGTTTTCTTACCGAGATAAGGAAATGAAATTACAGTCAGACATAGTATTTCCCCATAACACCAACACTGCATGTAAAGATTGGGGATGAAACAATTGTAGGTTAGCACCATTCCAAGAAAAGAAGGTGGGAAAGAATGTAGAAAACACTTTTAAAATCAATACATATCAATTTTCATGAGAACTTTAATTATATCTTTTTTTAATTTCTACCATTTATATCTATTCAAAAAGAAATGTAGGAAATAGTGCTAAGCATACTACAAGAATACCTCCCTCTTTCTTTCCTCTCCTATCCTTCCAGCCATTACTGTGAAACCCTCAAACACAGCAGGACATTTAGTTTTCAGCTGAGATGCCTTTTTCTTTTTAATATAAACTCTTCTTTCTTGACTTCAGCTTGGCTATTTTGTTTTTAAAGTGACACCTATGCATACAAATGTCACAAAATCTCTTATTCAGGGTTGCCCTTTTTAGCCCTTAGGAAATGAGATGCTGTTTTTCATGAAGTTTATCTGATGAGCAGCCACTTGAAAAACTAAGTAAACAAGTCAGCAACAAACAGTAGCAAGCTGAAACACAGATCATAATTATTGACCTTTGTGCAGGAGAGTGGATCCCTTATCATCCCGTTCATTAATATTGATTACTCCACTTCTCACTAATCTTCTAAGCATCAACAAGTCCCCTTTGAAAGCAGCATCATGGGCTGGGAAAGCTAAAACTGAAAATGAAATATATATAATATTTCCAAAGAGATGCCAGTAATTCCACTAAACCTGCTCTTAGTTGTCTCTCACTGCTTGCCTCTCTGACAGCCACTTATGCATGGGTACTCCACAGCTCTAGTTAGCCAGGTTAATGCACCCTTAATCATTTAAAATGCAGCTGCATAACTAGCACTGTTCATTATAGACTTGATTAATCATGGCTTGGTTACAACTACAGGCATCTTATACAGTTGAGAGATTAACTTCATAAACCTGAAATAACAAGTGTACCTTTGTTTTACAGCTGATGTTGTTTTACAGGTGGTAACTGGAGTCATTTGCCTATTTTGAATTTCAGTCTAACCAAACATATAAACTATTTAACTTCTTACTTAAAAACTACCCATACAGACAATTTGTTTTTTCTAGTTATTTTTTATAGACGGGGACTACTGACATATATACATATACATACAATGACAAAAGACTAGCAGATAAGAACAGTAAGTGCCTGGAAAAAGTATAGAGGTGAAGGAGCAGTTCTCATATCCTTGCTCTGCTGAAGGTTCTCCTTACAGACCCTGCCACACTTGCAACCTTTAGCTCCTCTGACTGCAGCAGTGCTGCTGGTTAGTAAGTAGGATTGCTCCAAGGATTGGAGCATCTCCCTTATGAGGAGAGACTAAGAGAGCTGGGACTCTTTAGTCTGGAGAAGAGAAGGCTGAGGGGAGACCTTATCAACGCCTACAAGTATCTCAAGGGAGGGTTGAAGGAGGAGGGAGCCAGACTCTTTTCAGTGGTTCCCAGTGGGAGGACGAGGGGCAACGGGCACAAGTTGGAACATAAGAGGTTCCACTCAAATATGAGGAGAAACTTCTTCACGGTGAGGGTGACAGAGCCCTGGAACAGGCTGCCCAGGGAGGTTGTGGAGTCCCCTTCCTTGGAGATTTTCAAGACCTGCCTGGATGCAGCCCTGAGTAACATGCTCTAGCTCTAGGCAATCCTGCTTCAGCAGGGGAGTTGGACTAGATGATCTCTATGGTCCCTTCCAACTCTAAAATTCAGTGAAATTCAGTGAAACCTTAATTTCAGTGGGACATTTTCGGTCTGAATTGCTATTCAATGCAAGTAAGGGATTCTGGAGCAGGCAAATCTGAAAACTCATGAAAATTATACAGCTCGTCTGAACGTCTGTTGGAGTCTAAGAGCATGGATAACTTCAAATTCATAGTTCAACACAGTGTGACACGCTTTATTTCAATAATGGGTAAACCTAAGATGTTTATAAAATCACATTGAGTTTCCCAGTCTTAGCTATCAGTAAGCATAGTAAGCATTGAAAGGAATAGCTCTTCCTTATATTGGGAATTTAAATGTTACACTTCTGCTTATACAAGTCTTCAGAATCAAGCATTTGCATAGAATTACAATGTCTCTTTTAACAGTATCTTGGTCCACACTTACCTTCCTGTGTCTCCGGATGCTCCTCCTCTTTTTCCACGCTGTCAATATACTGCAGAATATTATCTTTGTAGAACCGTTCAGCCAAGTCCCTTGGAGTCTCTCCGTGGTCATTCCTGGCTTTCAGTGTGTGCATGACACTGGCCATTTTATTGACCAGGAACTTAAAGCAATGCAAGTGTCCTTCCACTGCTGCCAGGTGAGCTACAGCACAGGGTGAAACAAAGGTATGTCAGAGCAGAGCAGTGCTCTCATGGCTGATCAGATCTAGCTCCTCTACCAGCACCTGAGCCATCCAACACGGCACAACAAGCACCAGCTGGACAGGGGATTCTCAGCTCCCATCCAGGACAGAGTTTGGCTCTATGCAAAGGAGCTAAAAGAGTCAAGGGTAGGATCTTCAAGAAGATTGCCTGGCAGAGCTGGTTGCAGGAGACAACACAACGCTGCCAAGACACCTCTGAGCACCCGCTAGGAGAGCGTGCCACTGCGGTCTGATCTTCCCCACAAACACAAATCTCACTCCTCAGCAGCTCTCTGACTTCACTGTCCTCGGGATAGTCATTACAGAATGCCAGCAAGGGGTGTCCTTGATTAGGAGTTGAGGCCATTTCTCCTTTAGTCCCACCTCTACTGTGTCACCACAAACAAGTTTTGTCACACATCTGCACCTCAGTTACCCCACCTACAAAATGAGGACAGTGATATTTGCTTTACTGGGTAAAGTATTTGAAGGTAAAACCCATGACAGAGGCGTCTTTTCCCAGTACTTCTCTCCTACATTTCTTTCCTCCCACTGTTGTAGAGGGTTGCTGGGGGGGGGGCTGCTTCACCTCCTCACGGCAGTGACTGCTTCCCTGTGGGGAGGTCAAGTGTTTCCTCTCCTGTCCTTTGGGCTATACCAAAGTATTATTTAATACTTATTTAAATATACCAAGGCTATTTAATACTATTAAAGTGCTGGGCCTACAACAAAGTAAGAAGTACAAAACACGTGCTCATTATTTTGAAATTATTAGTATTCTCTAGTCCCATTAAAGGACAGAAGTTGCCAAATAAATGCATATTATGTGTTCTCATTCCATGAAAATGCTCTGTAAAAGCTGGCTGATGTTCTACAAGCGAAAAGATTAGTTTGTCTCCAGGTAAGAATCTAATTATCTTCATAGTTAATAAACAATGTACCCAGGACCAGAAAAACCCATGTCACTTAAGTTATTTTTTTGGCACATCAAGTTCTCTGTTGCAAACCATTCACAACTTTCCAGAGCGTAACTGCTCTAAAAGGTGATGGATATTGGTTTTATGGCAAGATGACAATAGTTAGGTACAGACGATGGCTAAAATTTAAAGCTACAAAATCTGAAATCAGGGCAGTTTTTTCCATCGTCTTAATTTTATTCAGTGAGTTAGTTACTCAGGGACAAGTGAAAAGAAGAGGGACCACCTTAAAAACTAAGTACTGATTACTAGTTGGCTGGTGAAATACTGACTCAGCCCTTATGAATCCACTTTCAGATATCTAAAATCTCATGGATAAAACTTCATCTTTTGGAATGAAATTTTGTTTTTTCATCAGATGTCTGTCCTCTGCACATAAAGGAACTTTTCGTAGGTGGCTTTTAACCCGTGTGTTTCTCAGTAGCTAATGCCCAACATATAACTGTGCTGTGTGAGCCTCGGGCACACTGAGCACCTGGAGTTGAAACTAAAGACAGAGAGAACTGTGATGTTAACACAAAATACACAGCTTATTGCTGAGAACTTTGAAAAACCTTGGCAGTGGGTAGTTGGTGGTGGTATCCACTTCTCTGTGTTTCATCTCACCTTCTATAAAATCAGGCTAACAGTCAGACTCTTCTCAAAGTGACAAGTGAAAAAACACTCTGTGAAAAATTCAGATGTTGCACTACAATTAAATTAATATTATAATTAGAATAGGTTTAACTAGTGAGCAATAAATGAAAAACTGATATGGCCAAAAACCAAATACAGAGAGAAAACAAAATGTTTAATTAATGAGCACAGCCCATTCTGTACACTGAGTGAACCACGGTTCTCCCCCAAAATTAGTGTGCTACAGGTAATTAAAGCCTCTACCATAACACACACATGTGAAAGGTGCAGCCAAGTTTTAGGTGCATGGCATTGCAACCTCAGAAAAAATTTTTCAGTATAATGTTAGGAAAAATTAGATCCCTATCCAGCTAATCTTGAAGCTGAATTATGTAAAGATGGTTTAAGTTCACTTTGCTGTTTCAGAGGCTGAGGAAAAGCTGGTCTGTACAACACACCACTTTACGAATCTTTTACAAGCAATGTTCCAAAGCATTTTCTTTCCTTTGGATGATAAAGACCAGGCTGGATGGGGCTTTGAGCAACCTGCTCTAGTGGGAGGTGTCCCTGGCCATGGCAGGGGAGTTGGAACTTGATGATCTTTAAGGTCCCTTCCAACTCTAACCATTCCATGATTCTATAATACAATCAAATGAAACAGAACAAAGGCTGGAGGATCAAGGAACTGTACATGTCAAAATAACAACAAAACCAATTTTCTACTAACCAGTATATAGGAGCATTTAAGTAGAACTGTGATGGCATTTGCCACCTCTCCATAAAAGTTTGTTATCAGGGAAGTGTTCCCAAATCCAAATAAAGCTACCTTCTACACGGCCAGCAGGGTGCCTCTCATCATGACCCCTTATTGCTAATACACCAGATGTCCTGCTGGGATGCAAGAGCCTCCCATCCTTTAACAAGACCCAGGTTTGCAAACCCAGAACATAGATATCAGTTTACTAGGTAAAAGTGATGCTTAACAGAGGGTAAAAGAATTAAAGATGGGATTTTAAAAGATAACTCTGAGCAAGTTATAGAAGAAAAAATAGTATGTTATTTGGAACAAATAATGTGATAAGCCATAAGAAGGAAAATGCTAAAAGGGGAAGGATGCAATGAGAACACAGGGTATGAACAATACCCTTCAATTTACAGAGGATATTGAGGCAATGGCGTGGTAGGCAGAGGGACACTGGAGAACTACGAAGAGCAAGGAATAAATACTGCCCATTTTTTGCACTAAGGCAAATAGGATCATGATTATGAAAAGAGTACAGATTACAGATCATACAGACAATACAGAATACTGATATTCCAGAAATCAAGATAAAGAAATGGCAGGTAAATGAGAGCAAGGGTTTTACCAAATCAGTGTCGAAACAGTGGGATACAAAAACCTGCATATGAACGTGCCAGAATGTGCTCACACCGGCCCAGCCATTAAAGCCTGGCACAAATTCAAAAAGGAGTATAGAGCAGCTGAAACTGCCTCCTGCTCCACCCACCCTTCTCCTCCTGCCACCTCCATCAGCACAGGCGTTCCATCACACGCGGATGAGATGCTGCCCACCCACACAGAGCTATCAGCCTGGCTCAGCCTGCTCCCCATCCCCACACCCATCCGCCCAGATCCTTTCCAGCAGCAGGAGGTGAACAGGATACTGTCACCAATAGGTAAATACTGTGGCTTTTATAAATTCCCCCCATCATCATAAAAATGGAATAACTATGTTGATTGCACGGAATCAGATAGCAAATGCTGCTGGTGTGCATCACTTACAATTTGCTATAATCATCATATCACACAACTGTAAATCAAAGGTTAAAAAAAAAAAGTATTCTTTATCCTGATATACCTGGAAGGTTTCCATTGTTATCCACATCATCTATACACGCTCCCCATTTAACAAGAAGCTGCAAACACCCCAAGCGACCATGGAAAGCAGCATAATGAACAGGCTTCCAGTCGTTCCTGTCTGAAGCATCCACATTCTAAAATGAAAGCAGCAGGTTAATTCATTCATTTATGAATCTTAGACACAAGACAAAGTTTATAAATAGGAATCAGCTGTTCATTGTGTTAAGCTATTTAAATCAAATCAAATAGCTTTTTTCAAAGTTCACACCACCTATGCAGCTCCCATTTCAAAACACATACTTTTCACAGGTTCTTGGTTTTATTTCAACAATACACATAGAAAAGACACATTTTTAGACATACTTCTATCACTGCATTAGTCATTATTCCTTAAATAGGTATCTAGCTTTTTTTTTTAAGTTTATATCTCCTTTACTATAGAAGATTTGTACAACTGCAAAAAAATCACAACCACAGGGCCTGATCTTCATTTAATTATAACTTCAGTGGAACATGGTTTACTCACATTATTGATTCTTTCTAGATTTTTGGATCATTTCTCTAATGTATCTTACGATAAAATAAAAACTAAATTTACCCTAAAAATAAATTCACCAGCAGGAACATATCAACACTAATTAGTCTACAGTCCTAGATCTCAGTTTAATCTAGGGAGTGTTTTGTTTGGAAAAAGATACCAGGCTTTGGCTCTGCGCAAAGGAATTGAGGGTGACAGTCTCTCACCGCTCCACTCCGCAGTAAGGTCTGTAGGGTGTAAGACTGTCCATGGGCTGCAGCCAGGTGGGACGGGGTGCACCCACGATCATCCTGAGCTTCTGCGTTTGCTCCATTTATTAACAGAGCCTAAAAGAAATGCAAAGCAGAAGTTCAGTTCACAGGCTGAAAAAGCAAACATTGCCAAGCAGGATGTCCTAGTTTCAGCTGGGATAGTTAATTATTTTTTTTTTCTAGTGGTTGCTGTGTTTCAGATTTGGTATGGAAGGAATGTCAATAATGCATATCGTTTTAGTTGTTGCCAGATGATGTTTATATTTTTTGAGGACTTTTTTCAGCTTCCCATGGAAGTTGAAGAGCATGGACAGAACGATAGTATGGCCAGTGGGATATTCTGCACCATAGACATCACGTTCAGTATATAAATGGGGTTAGGCAGGGAGGAGGGAGGTACTCGCGATCACTGCTCAGGACAACACTAATTCAGTTTACCAGCACGTGCGAGTGACTTGTGTCTTGTATATTCTATTATTATTATTATATTATTATTATTCAACACAGAAAGGACATGGACCAGCTGGAACAGGTGCAGCGGAGGGCCACGAAGATGATCAGAGGGATGGAGCACCTCTCCTATGAAGACAGGCTGAGAGAGCTGGGATTGTTCAGCCTGGAGAAGAGGAGGCTCCGGGGAGACCTTATAGCTGCCTTTCAATATCTGAAGGGTGCCTATAGAATAGCTGGAGAAGGACTCTTTGCCAGGAAGGGTAATGATAGGACAAGGGGAAACGGTTTTAAATTGGAAGAAAAAAGATTCAGATTAGATCTCAGGAAGAAATTTTTTACTATGAGGGTGGTGAGACACTGGAACAGGTTGCCCAGGGAAGTTGTGGATGCCCCATCCCTGGAGGTGTTCAAGGCCAGGCTGGATGGGGCCTTGAGCAACCTGGTCTGGTGGGAGGTGTCCCTGCCCAGGGCAGGGGGGTTGGAACTAGATGATCTTTGAGGTCCCTTCCAACCCAAACCATTCTATGATTCTATGATTATTATTGCAAGTTACTTGTGTCTTGTATATTCTGCTGTTGTTGCTGTTGTTGTTACTATTATGATTATTATTATTATGTTATTGCTCTATTAAACTATCTTTATCTCAACCCACAAGGTTTTTTTCCCCTTTCCCCTTTTCTCCCTCTTCTCCCCACTCTTCTCAGGGAAGGGGGAAAATTGGACAAGCTGCAGCATGGTCCCAGCTGCTGGCTGGGGTTAATCCACGACACAGAACTTGAGGTGACCAGCAGATGGATGATCAACACTGGGCTGACCTCAAGGCAATGACACTGCACAAAATAAATCTGTTTGCGCGGACAGCGCAAATGAACGCATCGGTTTTACCAAGAGTGACTTGATTCCAGAGGTAAAGACATCAAGATGAGATACTCACAGCTCCATCAGGAGCTCTCTCAGCTGATTTCTCCCTCTTCTCCCCACTCTTCTCAGGGAAGGGGGAAAATTGGACAAGCTGCAGCATGGTCCCAGCTGCTGGCTGGGGTTAATCCACGACACAGAACTTGAGGTGACCAGCAGATGGATGATCAACACTGGGCTGACCTCAAGGCAATGACACTGCACAAAATAAATCTGTTTGCGCGGACAGCGCAAATGAACGCATCGGTTTTACCAAGAGTGACTTGATTCCAGAGGTAAAGACATCAAGATGACATCACAGCTCCATCAGGAGCTCTCTCAGCTGATCCTCATAATGAACTTGTCTAAACAGAGGGTCTGCCCTACTTGCTTTCGCTCGAGAGTGAGTAGTATTTACACGTACCTGCATGCAAGCGTCCTGACCTCGGATGGCCGCGAGGTGAGCTGCCGTCCAGCCTCTGACAGTCACCTCCGCCACATCAGCTCCGTGCCACAGCAACCAGTGAAGGCACTGCCCAACCAAAACCAAAGGTTTTCAGTTAACTATTCTTATCAGGTATCTGAGGCACGTTTTAACTATAATTTATCAGTCGCTGTTACATTTCAAAACAGTATCGGAGTACTTCATTATGGAAATGCAATGCCCTCGAGCACCCCTTAGCCAGACACTTGCAGTGGTAAGTTCTACTTTCCAGGTTTCACCCAAGATACTACATTATGGAAATGCGATGCCCCAGAGCACCCCTTAGTGCATTAGGGAGTTACAGGTAAGTTCTACTTTCCAGGTTTCACCCAAGAGTACAAAAAGTGCAAATAACCTACTAATTCAGACCCTAGCACTGATTTTACAGTATGGCTTCTTGATTTTACTCTTCCAAACTTAAAATGTAATCTCTGAGAGTATTCACGCGGCACAAGGTAAAAGCATTGGACAAAACAAGGCAAATATGCTCACTTGAATTCCAGCTAAAATTACTGGCAGGAAAAATGTAATGAACCAAATTTAAAGCCTCATGTAATTTATTAGGCTCCTCAGGTGTACGCAATCCCATCTCCCTTCTCATCCTTCCACAGCTTTTTTGCCTATACGCCTTTTTCCAGCAGACATTATTGCTTGCAATGGGAAGTTTTATGGACTATCCAAAAGCAGCTAGAGGACTAGCTAAGTTAAAACTTTGTATTATATCTTATTACGATTTATTATCTTCTTCTAGGCCAGCCTACAGCTCTGGTTCCTCCACTGTTTCCATAAAGGAGCTTAGCGACAAGTAGATGGCAGATAATTCAATAAAGCCTGATACATTGATTGCAAAGTAGGAGAGTCAAATGAAAAATGGCAGAATTTATAGAGGCAGAAGAGGGTGGGTAAGCAATTTGTTTTTAGGGTTGACAACATGATGATCAGCATTTCTTGACAGTTTCTGTACATTCCAGTAACAGCGCTGCATTTATTATTCCTCGAGTTTAGGAAGAACTTTACATTCTTTCCTCTGGGACATGAATTTTTATATGGTTATTTGTGGCCTCGTTGCTTCGAGGTTAGATTGCTGTAAAGATTGTACAAGGACGCTACAAGAAGAAGGTGAATGTTGTGCTGAATACAGCAGCTCAGTCCCCCTGGCAGTTCAAAACATTTGTGCAAGCACCTGCTGATTTCTCCATCAATATTCAAAGGTTTTATTTCTTAAAATAAAATGTCTTACGACTATTTCTATAGAGCATGAGGCATGAGACGGGACATTGGTAAATAGAATGAACATGTTTTCATGTCACTTCTCGCCTGTTTCAATCAACTGCAAAACATTTTACACATCTTGCAGGCTTTTCTACGTGTCCCAGGAGATGGGAAAAACACAATAGGGACAAAAGAAGGTCATGACTCTGGAAGGGAAACCATAGGGCACACTTTGCTCAGAGTAAGAAAATCACTGATTTTGTAGAATCTGGCACCGTTAACTCTATAAACTGCCTGGGGCTTCAGAAAGGCAAAATGAAAACCTAAAATCCTGTACTTCTGTTCTTGGCGAATATATTTAGTGAGAAAAACACGCAGAGATTATTGATTTAGCTTGATCAAAGCTAGCAATTTTGTGCCCAGCTTCTTCCAAAGACGGAAAACATTAACCTTATAAAACCTTGCTGTGCCTGAACATTAACACCATGTTTTACCTCCAGACTTCCAGAGTGTGCAGCACAGTGCAACGGTGTGAATTTGTGGACCACATCCACCTCATTAATATTGGCTCCACTTTTTATCATTGACGCAAGCTGTTCTACATCACCAGCTTTCACTGCCTCGTGTACACTGGTATAGTTTTGCTTCTTCTTGACAGCTAGTGAGGAATAATAAAAGGGCATTAGTCAGTTCAGCAACATTTAAGAGCTAAGAAATAAGTGACGAATCAAAGAAATGTCAGGGTGTCAGCTTCACAGGAACCAATCAAAATGTTCAAGTAACCTATGAAACTGGGATTCATACCAGCAGGAAACCTAAGTCACTTCTGTTTGTCAGAAACAGAGCAATATGCAAAAACCTGAGACAGCCAGGCCCCCTCCACCCCCAGAAAAGGGGCCAAAAGAGTAAGACCTAGAAGAAAGATAACAAGAAGCACAACAAGAAGCACAGCTACTCCATCTATGTACATGAATGCTGGGGCAGGTCCACCCCAACACTGGCTCTCTTCCGAGATGTGGGCACCACAAACTCTTACATTAATCACATTTCCAAGTACACCAGTGAGGCTTCTCACTTGGGCAAACAAACCTCTCAACCGTCACTTCCCAGGTGCTCCACATGGCCATGCTCCTGCTGCCGCTGCCTGAGGACCTTGGCATAGCACAGCCTGCCACGCTGGAGGGCACCCAGAGCCTTCACCGAGTGAGCACACCATGTAGTTGCTCTTGACTGAGCTACACAGACCAGTTTCAGGACAGGCTGATGTCAGAATTAAAGCTGCTGTAGCAAAGCTGTTCTTTATACGACGTGTTACTCATTCTGTGTTCTTCTCTTGCTAGAATTATGGCATTGCTCTGTCACAGCACACTGTTAGCAGCCTGCCATTTTGCTCCCACCAAGGTCAATAATATTTTCACTGACCTCCGTGGCACAGAATCAAACTCTACATGTAGAAGCAGTGTGGTCAAAAAAACCAAAAAACCCCTCACCAGGCCATGGAATCAAATAACCTGTGTTCTCCTCCAGGCTTTTCCACCAATTAACGACGGGACTGGAAACAATGGGAGTTGCATATCCAAACCCCATGGCAACATCTTGATATCTTGCCAAAGCTTGTAAACAGAAATATGTGACACAAGTAGATCTAGCTGCTGAGGGGGCTAACTCCAGATAGCCAAGCATAAGAGGAACCTAAAACAATTAGTAATCACCTCCTAGAGCAGCCATTATTCTAGTACCAAAATGTACTAATATTGTTTCATAAGATTTCACGTTCTTAGAAGAAGTCTTGAAGAGGTGGGTTGCTGTTTTGCAAGTCAAACAAGCATGAAAATGTAGGTCTTAAGGTATTAGTGCCTCAGTTTCTCCACCTGTGGAGAAGAAATGGTAGTAATTAGAATCGTTATGCAATTTGAGATAAAAAATATTAGAATATAAATGAGAGGTTGCATAAAAATCTTTGTGGTATGTGTAAAAAAAATTTAATAAATACAATGAAAAACAGCCTTCATAGCTTGCCACTGCCTGTTTTCATGCAATCTGTAGCGTGATAGTAGTGCTCAGGCAGATTTGGGGTTGCCACAGAGAGGAAAAGGAGGGCTGAAACTGTTTCAATAATCCCAGCTGACAGTAGCACACCCTGTGCTGTAACACACCGCTTGATCTTGCAGCTGGGTCTCACGGCACTTCCACCTCCCCCAGCTCCGCAGGCTGTATCCCTGCCCTGCACAACGTGGCTTCAGTCAGGAACCAGGACTCCATCCTGCAAAATACTGTATGAACAAACAGCAGCAGCATGGAAACATAGAATAATTCAGGTTGGAAGGGACCTCAGGAGGTCACCTAGTTCATGTTTCCAAAAAATACTTAAGTATGTTTTGTGGTTTGAGTTGTTTTTTTAAGGAGACAATATCACCAGGACATAATTTTCCCACAAGGGAGCCATTTCTGATTATGCCAAGCGAGGGTTACAGACTTCAGCGCAATTATACAGACTTGCATCAGAGGAAGAGCTGGCCAATTACACCACTTGCCAAAGTACTAATGTGTTTAACACAATGTTCCAGTGCAGCAAGTTCAAGGTAATCCATATTTATTTATTTATTATCCTGAAGAAAAGCAAACCCAAGGCCCACCGGCAGGGTGAATTCTTGTCTCCCTTCTGCCCCTGGAGCCCCACAGGCGCCTGGAGACGGAGGCCGAGTGCTGCTGCTCGGTTTCTTGGCACGGGCCACCACCAACAAGCTGAAAGCAGGGGCCGTGGGACTGGAGTTCAGTAAACAGCTGCTCACAGGAATTCTGTACAAAATGTGCTGATTTTGAAAGCGAAGGACGAGCTCCAGCATTTTAGTGCAAGTTTTTTTTAATCAAAACTGTTATCAAATCGTCATTGGATGTTCTGAGAGAAAACACCTTTGTGCAAAGGAGAAGGGATAAGGTCCGTTTCAAGACGAGCACCTGCCCACAATTCAAGAAATTAAGTAACATGGTCTAGAGGGAGGTGTCACTGCCCGTGGCAGGGGGGTTGGAATTACAGTCTTTAAGGACCTTGGAAGGACCCTGGAACTAGATCTTTACGGTCCCTTCCAACCCAAACCATTCTGTGATTCCAAGTTAAGAACATTATGGTTCAGAATAAGGGAAAAGAATCATTTTTAGGTTTCTTTCTCTGACAGACAAACCCAATCCTGTGCAGGGCGCCTTGGCAGCAGCTCCAGGGACGAGGGGAGGCTGTCAGTCCCAGCCAAATCCCACTGCAGGCCAAGGCCAAGCCGCCGGACCCTTGCCCGGGGTATTTTGTGTAGGTCCCGGCAGAGCCCCGTCTCACAAAACTGCAGATTTCGGGCAAAACAGATGAGGGAGAGGCGGGTCCGAGGGAGCGCGGCGGCGGGCCGGCCCCGTCCCGCTCCCCGCCATGGCGCCGCCGCCCCGCGGGGCCTTTCCCCTCACGGCCCGGGCGGGAGAGGGGCCGCTGTGGGGGAGAAGCGGCGCCCGCCGCCACCACAGCGGGGCTCGGCGGGGGGGAGGCCCGGCTGCCCCCAGCCCTCAGGGGAGGGAAAGGGGGAACAAGGAGCCCAGGCGAACCCGTCTCTCACCGGCCGGAGGAGGGGGAGGAAGCGCGGCGGCCGTCGGTACGGCGTCTCCTCAGAGCAGAAGCGGCCGGGAGCCCTTCGCTCTCACCGGGGAGCCTGCCTCACTCACCGCGCCTTCCTCCTCCTCCTCCTCCGTTGCTATGGGCACAGTGTGCGCTGCCCCGGCGCCCGTGAGGCGGCGGCGGCGGGAGGAAAATGGCGGGCAGGGCGGGAGAGGCGGCGCGGGGCCGGGCCCTAGGGGCGGCCATGGCGCTTCGGTGGGCGATGGGGGCCCCGCTCTCCCTCCGGCGTAACTGGAGGGAGGGTTCATCCGTATGAGCCGCAATAAAAGTTTCCTGTGGATGGCTGGAGGGGCAGGACAGCAGGGAAAGGATGGTGGAGGGGGGAAGTTGCACTGTCGGGTGGCACCTTTCTGGCAGTCCTGGGTTAGTGTCTTCATGGTGCTCCTCAGGAAGAAGCGTGACAAATCAGCACCTCTCCTCATCTGTGCGACCAACAGCGATCATGGATTTGTCAAGGCCGAAAGGGACATTTCAGATCATCAAGTCCAACCATCAACCCAAAAGTGCTAAAACCACCACTAAACCATGTCACTAATCGCTATGTCAACCCATCTTTTAAATACCTCCAGGGGCAGCCTGTTCCAACTGTATATATTAAATACTTCCCTGGGCAGCCTGTTGCAACGTTTGATAACTGTGGGAAATAAGCTAAGTTTTGCTTCAGCTAATTGATGTATCATTGTTAGTGTGATAGTACTAACAAAGAAGCCTTAGTAATAGTAGAGTCTAATAAATTGTATCCAATTAATCCCCAGAAATTCCCTTGGTCTGTCAAGGGATCCTTGTTCGCAGAGCGTTATCTAGGTGAAAAGAAACAAACTGGAACGTGGCCTTCAACACAAAAACCCAAAGGGTAGGGGAGTATCAATAAGGCCAAAGAAACCAGTCTGGTAAATCTGCCAAGTAGATGGTAGCAAAGACTCTGAAATAATGTGTAGCATAATCAACTAATCAAAGGCATGTTTAGGATAATGATTTCGTAGAATAGGTGTACATGTGCCTTATATGGGAAAAAGTGCAAAATAAACCTGTAATAGGTCAAGCGGTCGGGAAGAATGTGAGCTCCAACTTCTCAGCCAATGAGAAAGGAGACAGAAACTCAAGTGGCCGGGATAAAGGTATAAAATACCTGAAAGCTAAAAGATCATTGTGTATCTATTTTTGGTGCACCCGATTCAGCACTGTTTCGTATTAATAAATTATTATTTTTTTAACCTTTGCTTCGGTGACTTTGTCCTCTTTAAATTCTAAGATGTGAGTCGGTGTTTCTCACAATAACCCTTTCTGTGAAGAATTTTTTCCTAATATCCATCCTAAACAACTTGGAGCAACTTGATGGAGCAACTTGAGGCCCTTTCCTCTTGCCCTATCGCCTGTGACTTAGAAGAAGAGACCGACCCCCATCTTGCTACACCCTCCTTCCAGGTAGTTGCAGAGAGCGATGTTCTCTCCTCAGCCTCCTTTTCTCCAGGCTGAACAACCCTAGTTCCTTCAGGCTCTCCTCCTAAGACTTGTTCTCCAGACTCCTCATCAGCTTTACTTGCCCTTCTCTTGACCAAGATGTATTGACCAAGAGGTATTTAACCCGTTTATGCTCTCCCTCTCTCAGCACCAAAGCACTCGCAGGGTTCAGGGCAATGGGTTTTCCCTGCAGTCAGTCCTGCTCCTCACCCCCCTGGGCCAAAACCTGCTGGATCCCTGGAGAGAACCTGGGTTTCCTTTGATAGGGCGGAAAAAAAGCACCCTGCAGAGTCCTGCTTCCAGGCAGGATGAACCCTTCCCGATCAGGTTTACGGGCCTGCATGGATAATTACACAGACCCAGGAAGGTCTATTTAGAGCTGAACTATCCTTGTCATTAGAAAGCTGCCATAAATCCTGCTGCTGCAACTTACAGGTCTCTTTTTGTTCTATCCCTAGTACAGAGTAATCCGTTCCCCTTTTCTAACAGCCTCCTACATATTTAAAGACCTCACGTCTCTGCTGGAGCCTCCTCTGAATTTCAATTTGTGCCATTTCAGAGAAGTTTAAGGTGTTTGAGGACACAAAGTATCACTTGGGCCAAGCCCACATCCCTGTCTCAGGAAAGAATTGCAACAAGTAGCAGAGCAGTGACTCCCGCAGGAGGGCCACCAGCCACACACCATGGCCACCAGACATACACCACCCCACCGGATGACCTCTCCCCCATCCACCTCCAAAGGATTTTTGTTCCTTTAGACTTTCTCTAATCAAAAAGTATTTTTCAGGCTGGCAGCTAGAACGTGGCACCCTCCCAACTATAGCTACAACCTTCATACGAGTGTCAAAGAATTATTCACATCTAAGAACTGCTGGAAGCCTGGACATGAGGATGGGAAGAAGCATTGCAGCAGCAGCAAAACCTCTTTCACAGCTGATTATTTCTACACGTATCACACATTAAGGGTGAGTTCACATCTCCCAAGCATCCTCACTGCAGGGGTATTACACCAGGACCGTGACACTGCTCTTCTAGTGCTTAGGTCTCGCTCCCCACAGCTTTAAAAACAAGCACTACACACATGGCAGAGTAAATGAAACATTAAATGCATACTGCCCTAAGACACACAATTATTTACGTCCAATCCCACAAACACACCAGCCACACAAACCCAACACTGAAAGGAAGAGACTCACACTCAAATATATGCTTAATTTTATTTAGTACATTTAAGAAATATTAACATCTCAGGATATCTGGTTTACCATCTAAGTCCAGTCATAAGCAACGAAAAAAAAAAGTTAACCATGTTTCAAATGAGCATTCTTACATTCATTCCCCCCTGTAATGTAAAGAAAATTTGTTAAGCTGTATTAAATTCTTATGTGTTTGACTAATGGAAAAAAGAAAAATCATTAAAAATGACTTAACTACCAGGCATCCTGGTTTGTTAATTGTTTGTTGGCACTTGTGTTTGCAATCAAGCACTCTGGTTGGTATGTTAATTTTCCCCCTTCTACCCAGAACTGTCTTTTTCGAGTTTTTTTTCTGTTTGTGTTTTTTTTTTGTGTGGTTTTTTTATTTTTATTTTTTTTTAAATCTGGATATGTAAGTTTGTTCAGTAAGTTTAAAAAGAAAAGAAATCTAGGGTTGTCTGTCTGAAAAGTTCCTGCACTGCTTCCCTTGATAACCCACCTATGGGATAACTGAAGGAAGTTATTTGCTTTCATGTTTCTGATCCTTATTGAGCAAAAGTTCTTTTAAATTCAATTTAAACTGAAAAAAGTACAGAAACACTGTCTTCATTTGATGGTGTGCATAAACATTACACTCCATATATAGCAAAAATATCTTTTATTTATAATTTACATTTCCACAAGTGAAAATTGTACATTTTTACATATACCATTTCATTCCATTAAATTTTCACGCATCTACAGAACTTTCACACAATGACACCTGAAACTGTGCAGGCATTAAGAAATTCAAATACAAAAATGTATTTATTAACCAAACAGTAGTTGAGGCCCTGCCTCAGTTGAACATTTTTATTTCATATAAAAAGTATTTGCCTTCCAGAGATAACACAGCAGCTCTTCTGTAAAAAAAAAAAAAATTGTATTCATACCTCAGTTCATTTAAACAGACTCATCAGGTTCTGTTTTAATTTCTGTAGATGCAGGTGTGCTCTCTTCTGCACAGGCAGTAGGGGTGTCATCAGGTTCTTCTTTAATTTTAGGTGGCGAGTCACAGGGCTCTGGGGTTTCTTGTTTAACAATGTTCAACATTATATTGAGTGGATTTTCTACAGGAGTCTTGCTGGGAGATGGTGTGCAATCAAATGATGATGTCTGTAAAATGAAAGTCAACATAGCATCAACACACATTAAAAAAAAACATTTTTAGCTTCTTATCCCTTTTGCTCTTTTTCAACATACACACACGGACAGGCAGTCAAAATCCAAACTTCTACTTTTTCAAGATCCCAAGAAAACAAATTTATTCTTTAATAGCATTACTTTTTCACAATTACTTTGAAAAGGTATCATCCAAGCAAAGAGATTCTTAACACATTACCATAGACTATTCCCTACTGTCCCCAGGGAAACTAACTCCTGAAGCATTAAAAATTTAACACACACCAACACCTATTTATTCCATTTTTGCAAATTCCTAAGATTATGCATGTTACGCAATGATGTGTTTTCAAACCATGGTTTTGCTTTTATGACACACAAGGTGTCCTGGTACCTCACACCAAGAAATACCTCTTGACTAATTCTGTGTTACGAACTCGCCATGCCCAAGGGCCTTCTTTTGTCTAGTCATAGGCAAGAGACACGGGCAGGACGTTCTGAACACATCTGGTCCCCACAGAGTCAGAGATCAAACACTGAAAGCAAAATGCTTCAAAATATAGGAAGGAGGATTCACTTACGTTTTGGTAATCTTCGTAGCAAGATGGATGGTAAATCTGAAAAAGAATTGTTACACGTTTAAATACATTAAAATAAATTATAGCACGATCACTGGTTATGAACAGAACAGCATCAATTATACATCTCTCACAATCTCTAGAAAAACAACAGTATGAACAGGCCAAGTATAGTGTCAAATGTAACTGCGAAAAGATTTTGTGGATGTTTCTTTAGGAAAAGTTATTGTACAGAAGCCTGGTACATGCTGGGAATTACAAAAGCCTGGTAAATGTTGGGAAGATTACCTTTTCATCTACTCTGATAGCGTTCTTCAGGTGCCACTCTTCCTCTTCCTCATCCCAGTACTGTTCAAATTGCTCTTGACAAATTTCACAGCTCTGAAAAGTTATTGCAGTAACAGAAACAAATTTTTGCAACAATTTACTCAACACATTGTAAGAACCTACTAACAGTCAAACAAGGTTCTTTTGAATTCAGCCAAATACATTAAGATTTCAACATGATCTTTCCTCCACACTTTACAAATAATTTTAAA